GTCTGTGCGTAGTGGTTCTTGAAGCACTGACTCCAGCTGCATTCCACTCTTTGTGAATCTCCCCCACATTTTTGAATCGGTTTTGTTTCACAATCCTCTCCAGGGTGCGGTTATCCCTTTTGCTTGTACACTTTTTTCTACCACATCTTTTCCTTTCCTTCGTCTCTCTATTAATGTGCTTGAACACAGAGCTCTGTGAACAGCCAGCCTCTTCTGCAATGACCTTTTGTGTCTTGCCCTCCTTGTGCAAGGTGTCAATGGTCGTCTTTTGGACAACTGTCAGGTCAGCAGTCTTCCCCATGATTGTGTAGCCTACAGAACTAGACTGAGAGACCATTTAAAGGCCTTTGCAGGTGTTTTGAGTCAAATAGCTGATTAGAGTGTGGCACCAGGTGTCTTCAATACTGAACCTTTTCACAATATTCTAATTTTCTGAGATACCGAATTTGGGGTTTTCATTGGTTGTCAGTTATAATCATCACAATTAAAAGAAATAAACATTTGAAATATATCAGTCTGTGTGTAATGAATGAATATAATATACAAGTTTCACTTTTTGAATGGAATTAGTGAAATAAATCAACTTTTTGATGATATTCTAATTATATGACCAGCACCTGTAGGTGCATTGTACATTTAGCCATTTAAGCATTGTTTAAAAAAGAAAAACAATGCTCAACACTGAATGTTCCCAAAAATAAAATGTACTGTTTCTTTTAGTCACGCCACTAGTGTCTAATAAAATTCATGAAATACAACAATGTTGCTCATATGATCAGAATTTTGAAATGAAATGAAATGTGTCCTGCTGTGGTCGAGTACCTGGTGGTCACTTGGAAAATCTAGTAGTTTTAACATGTTAAGTAAGCCTAAGTCACTTAGTCATGAGGACAGATCTGTGAAATTCCACACTGTTCTTCTTTTTAGCATGAGCCACACCCACTAGTGGTGTGGTAGAGAAAAGCTGGCAACAAAATCAGTCCTAAAAGTGTTATAGAGTGAAACACACACACACACATACACACACACACACAAAGTTATTTTAAAGTTATAATGGATAATAGGGACCTGTCCAGGGTGTACCCTGCCTTTCACCCGATACCGGCTGGGTTTGGCTCCCCCCTGCTTCTTAGCATGAGTATGAAAACAATGGTGAACAGGCCTGAAGTGCCCACTGCAAGATTCATCTGTTTTGCACAATTGCAAGCACCCACCATGGTGGCAAAAACTGTAGTCAGGCAAAGTGCTATGGACAATTTAGTTGGTTGATTTTCTTGGTTTTCACTTAAAAATACACAGTTTAGATACTGTAAATGGTTCAACCTGAGACTTCCAAATCTTCAAATCTTCAGGCCAGGTGAGCATGCAGAACACAATCGTGTCGTTTGACCCAACGTCCATCTCTCTCGGCAGTTGAACCCTCACTTTGCAGTTGGTGACAGCCATGTCTGACCTTGCCTATATCAGAGGCACAGTGCAAGAACAGAAAGAGAGACACTGTATGTAAATGTTGGAAATACCTCTAACAGAATAATGCAGCCAACACAGCTCCATATTTTACATCTACAGCAGGGAAAGCATTTGAATTTGCAAACAAGGCTGACTCAACCGCCTAGCACTAAATATAAACAGCCATCCAAAAGGCCTGGGTCAAATATTTAGCTTTATGAAGTATCTTCAGAGAAAGCAAGGTGGCTGCAAATTTGAGGTAATGCTCTACAACTGACACTGACCCCTGACCTTTCTGTGGAAGGGTCAAAGCAGACAAGAACATTTTTCCTCTATGGGACCCTTTATCTCAAAACGCACACTGTATATTATAATGTTATCATTAAGGATAGACAATTTGCTCACATATTGCAAAAACCGGTAATGATTAGTTATTGCTGCGCAACTAGCACTGGTGATTAGACACTTCAGACACATTCAACACCATAAAAAATGTATAATTTCTTTGAATATTTAGGAAGATTTCTTGTAAACAGTGCTACCCTGTCAGATTACATTTTACTACACACTCATACACATGCAGGATGAATAGCTAAACAGATTGTGTTTTGCAGGTATTCGCAGCACAAATAAAAAATTGATCTGACGGTGATGCTAGAAAAAAAAAAGCCAGGGATCACCAAAGTGAATAAAATTCCCTCTGATGGGAACATAAAATTTCAAGACAATCTGTCCAACAGTTGTCAAGACATGCAAATCATGTGGTGGTGCTACAGGCTCCACCAAAGTAGATATATTGTTTGGTAACCAAGAATGTCTGTACCAAATTTCAGAGCAATCTATCTTGTAGCTGTCAAGCTATTTCAGTACGAACCAAAAATGTCAGCCTCACTATGGTGTTGGTGAAAAGGTCAGAGGATGAACTGAGTCAGGACAGTTCATAATTTGGAAGCTATAAATGCCTATGCAAAATATCGTCACATGATGGTAGTGTGGCTACAAATCTACCTGCAAACAAAACAATGTCATTGTGATTCAGGCTTTGGCTTAGTCTCCTGTTCACATTAACTATATTCTTACCATGTTATCATTGGCATAAATTTGAAGGCCTGTGAAGCGGACTTTAGGTTGGTGCTGGGTCTTCACCAAACGGCTAACCGCCATGGATGTAGTATTTGGGTTCTTTTCTGGGTCCTTTAAGATTCTTGTGAAAAGGACAAGAAATTATAAGGTCATTTATCTTATTTACAGCTGTTTCCCTCATACCCTCTCATTAGACCACAAAATACTTCAACCTTAAATTTGATTTCAACTTCAAGCCTTTGCAAATTACTCATATAGCCCTGACTTTTACTCCTCCGTACAGTATCTAATATAAATACATGCAACCAAACACAAAAACACAGTTGGTCACACAACATACAAATCTCAAAAAATAATATACAAATATATTCTTTCATACATATATAATACTTACTCAATGCCACATCTTGCATTCAGACTTTCTGTAGAAAATATTCATTGTTTATTAAGAAGATACACACAAATGGTATCCCCTCACCCCCAAAAACATATTATATATTAAAGTGTCTTACCTTCTAGACTTGTAGACTGACCTGAACCTGAATTTCTTTGGGCAAGTACATTTTCCAAGGTGTTGTTATGGGGCACCGAAGATAGGACCAGCCACCAGAAGTGCCACCACTTTATCCTGTGAAGTGCAGAGGATCTGTAGAGCAAAGATCTGTCTGTGCTTTACTTGACCATGTCATAAAACCACTTGTAAAGTAGAAAGGCTGTGGCACACCATCAAAGCAAAAAATGTACAGGTGTACATTTAACCCATGTTAACCCTTCTCAGTTCATGCATAGTGTTAACATGAAATCACTTATTTATGACAATCAAGACAATGACCTACAGTAATTCAACATGGCATACAGTAGACCGCACCCAAAGCCAGATAGAAGCAAGTTAAAGGAGAGAAACAGAGACCTGTGCTAAGTAAATCTAACAAAATACGATTTTGTATAGAGAACAATATATAATGTCATTATATCAAGAAATATTTACTAGTAAAATTACTAATAAGGCCTTGTTGTCTTTGTATATGAAATGGATGGCAAAGAAACAGGCATTAAATCTGACTTTAATTTTGAAATAAAATATGCCATATACTCTTACACAGAAACACACAGGGAAGGAAACACACTATCACCCAAACACATGTATTGATCTTAGCTGAGAATACAAGTCATTTCCATACACTTAGTTAAATAACTAACACATATCGCTCAGTGCTAATATCATCAGTACAGTTAAATTAGGTGTTTTGAACAAAAAGTCAATCAAATCATAGCCTACCTTTGCATGTTGCTGAGGTCCTATAGAAATAATTTCAGATGACAGCAATACAGAACACAAATGTAGAAATACAGAATACAGCTGATGTGACAACAGGACAAATTGAAGAGAGGAAGCCTGCTGGCCTATCATCACTTCATGAGAAGAAAGATAAGCATCACCTCACAGAAAAAAGAGGAAGCATCAACAGACAGGAAGCTAAAAGTTCTGCATCCACTGCCTCTGTCACCTCTGAATCTCTTGAGTCAATTCAGTGTCATATTAAATAAATAAAAAATATTATTCTCAACCCTGGACATTGCACATGCATTCAATACACACATTACTTCATGGTTTTGTATAGAAGCTAGTTTATCCTGAACTAGAAGTTCATGTACATGTTTATCACTTGGTCTATGGCTGCATGTCACTGCTCCCACCTACAGGGGGAAGCAGCACATCAAAAAATCAAGTGTTGAGAGCTGAATGCAAGCATGTGGTTGCCCAATCTGTATATGCTGTAATTTTCTCCATTGCTGTTACACAACTGAAAGTAAACATCAAAGACAGGAGGAAACTAACTACAAACATGTATTACTGTTACGGGTTAAAACAGGGTCTGTCCTGAAAGCTTGGATATGTATTGCAATTTCAACTCCCATGCCTTCTACCTCATAATTTTCTCAAAACTGTGCAATTACACATTTTATTTTTTCATGTGATTAAGAATAGAAACAAAATGCCTGAGTCTGCCATCAGGCCTATTTGGCTTGAAGAAGTGATGATGTATCTTTGGTATTTAAGGATGATGATCATCATACAAAAGTGAATTCAGGCCACCTGTTTAATTCCAATGTAGACTCATGTATTTATGGACCCACCTGTAGATTGTGACATAATACATGCATTCCATAATGTGTGTGTGTGTGTGTGTGTGTGTGTGTGTGTGTGTGTGCATCTTGCACATAAGCCTAAGCTTTATCCAACTGCAAGCTTTATCCAACTTGCCACGCTGCATTGAGACTAGACCACAAAACAGCCTAGACTTGATCGAAGAAAAATAAAATAGTTGGAGAAGTACAGATCAAATGAAACTTTAGACACTACAGCAGTGCATATCTCAGTACAAACTTTAGTTTTCAGAAATCCTCCAATGACACACATCAGTGTGGACTAAACTGTGCATGGATTGAGCTACAATATATGTTACAGTGATTTCCAAAAGTGTTTGCTAATCCACTGCTGCTTTTACCTCCATTCCAAGAGGATTTCCAATCTTGTTTATTTTTTATTGGAACAAACTTATATCTAAAACAAGCTGAGAACGATCACAACTTACTACATGCATCAGTGGCTTAAGGACACTTTACCAGTGACCATTGTCTATGTTCAGCAGAGTGTGGCACCTCTTCCTCTGTGATGGCCTCAGGCCACAAAGACAAGTGAGCTGTTTGGACACAGTGTCCTCCATTACCCAGCAAAAGTAACTGAAAAAAAAAATCTCTTCAGAATGTACTGTATCTCCTTGCATCCTAACTGCATGAACCCATTATGCACTGGGTGTGAACACATGCGATGATCATCACATCACCCTCTCTCTCAACCTCTTTAACCCGTTTTGTTATTCCTTAAACAATGAGAAATGCCAAGATACCCATTAACACCCATTCTGCAAGCAGCTACTTCCTTTTGCCTTAGTTTGGATCCACTGACAAGGATAGCTACATATATGGCTCTCCAGTTTCCATCATGAAGAGTGGAACTACAATCATTCTCTACTGCCAATGAGAGTGGCTTCCTTTTTTTGCTTGGGCACAAGCTGACTACCACAAGGTTATTTTTTTCAGATTTCTATCAAATATACAGTTTCTATAATCTGCAGTTAATGGTGTGGTTGGTCAGCAAAGTGTTACCAGTGCGTGTGCTGCTTGGTAGGATATTAGTGCACATGTGTGTGCTTCAACAACATTTTCTAATTGTTTACTTTATAGATGTCTTGTCACACACTTTCTGGTTATATTCTGTGTGTGTGTGTGGGCTGGTAGCCCATTACTCATGTTGTGGAGACAAATCTGTCTACACAGTCACATTGTGGGGACTTGACATTGTTATGGGGACAAAAGGCAAGTCCCCAAAAGGTAAATCATTACATTTTAGAATGAGCCTTTGTTTTAAGGTTATAGGCTGATTGTAGTTTTAGGCAAGTGGTGGTTATGGTTAAGGTAATGGTAAGTCTGCAAGAAACTGTCTTTCAAAGTAATGTCACCCTGGGGTGATGGAAACACAACGTGTGTCTTTGTGTATGTGTGTAGACTGTGTGTGTGTGTGTGTGATGTGGTCTGTTACCTCGCTGTGGACTCGGAGGTGGGGGGTTTCTCTTCGGGTTCTTTTTCTGCTCCCTCCCACCTCCACCTCCATCCGTCCGGTTGATAGGAGTATTGTTGAATACTCGCCCATCAAGTTAGCCACAAAAAACAAGACATCACTGGAAATAATTTACCCTCAAAGTAAAAGGCAAGCCGTGATCACCTCAGAGAAAACCCTATCAAACTGTGTTTTGTCTCACATGTAGTTTGAAGTTACATTATAGGCTGCCAGTTGCTGCCTATGTCACATGTTTAAGCTTCAGTTGGAATAACATGAACTTTCTGCTTTTCATTTTCGTTACAATCAGAGTCCTCGCGTCATGACACTTAAATTTTACTTTGAAAGTCGAGACAGGAACACGCTGTCTCTGTGCTGCTGCACTTGACCCTGGTTTCTCCACGTTAGGCACCGAAACAGCACGACCAGCGGACCACTGTCCGTCCTGCTCCGACAGAGACAGAGAGAGAGAGGGAGAGAGAGAGAGAGAGAGCACGCGCGAATCATGGTCTCAGGACCGGACTGAAACCAACTAGTCAAGTACCAGCTTCCCATGAGATTTCCCCTTGACATGGGGAAAAACTGAAAATGAAGGGCGAATAAACGTCAGATAGCCTACGTTAGTCATTACAAGAGGTCGCGATATAAATAACCGTGCTCAGCTACGGCACTGAAGCTGCTGCTGAAGGAGTCGATGCGGAACTTTGGACTTACATCATTTAGTTGTTGTTTTTTATTTTGCAACTTCTCAGGTTATATTCAGCTGCGTTTCATTCATCACGTGAGGGGGTCCTCAACCCACTGGATTTTAACATGTTAGCAGCTAATGATTTACTAAAGCATGCTTGCTCTAGAGCCACTTTGCTGATAGTAAGCGTCGCTGGAGACGTGGATCTTTGGTGAAGTGCACGTTCAAGATTATTATTAACGTGCTCTCTTGTGGCTTACTCTCGCTACAGTGCTGTAAGGAAAGGAGAGTGCCTGTCATCGGTGTAAAAAACAAAACTTAAAGGAGAGCGCTGCATGGACTTACATATGAGTGAAAACCACTCACCGACATTTATGGAGGGTCGCTTTGTAATGCTGCTCTGAGTGTTACTCTAGGACGCAGCTCTTGGCCACAATAAAAGTGCATTGTTTAACACTGCACTGGGGACTAGTTTACCAGCCTGTTTGCCTGGGCTTGTGCCATAGACTAGCAATACTGCAAGTAAAAACACCTTCGGGCCTGAGCGACGACTACTTCCTCTCGTGCCCGGACCATGGCCTCCCCCTCGCGGGAAAGCTGCTTCTGGTTGCTCTGGAGACTGACCCTCCTCGCGCTCTGGCTGTGTGCGCTCGTGGCGCGTGCAACGCAGGAAGGTGGCACCTTTAGCGCAGAGGTAAAAACTAATTAATGCCATTACTGTTTGCACTGATTAAACAATAAATAATGCAAACTAAAGTGAAAGCAGAGGCAGAAAGCAGGCCATAGATGACATTATAAAAAATGAATTTAACAATTTTAACACGGCACCCTTTGAAAATGACGAGAAAGACATGGTCAAAGCAGCCTTTGCTTTAAACACAAAAAAGCATCTATTCGCCACTGCAGGAGGCTACAGTTGTCAGTTAATAAAGTAATATAAACATTATTCATTTGCCAACAAAATACCACAACACTTCTTTATAGTTAGCGTTTATAGTTGACTAGACGTTTGTGTGCCTCATGTTAATAAACGGATATGGTATTTAGCCTACCTGTGTTATAGTTTCAAACGTGACCTACCCAGTCAGAACTGAGGCAGGACTATCCAGTGCACAACATATTAAATCAGTAATATTTGCTACATTATTAATATAACGTTCAAAAGCTTTTATTTCCCATTTGGTTAATTTGGTTAACGAAGTGTATGGCAGGTGTGCAGTCATAAAAACAAGCTGTGAAGTGACCATGTAGCAGCCAGGATTTTGTGTAAAGCACATTGACGTAGCACTCTTTTGCAAACATTACAAATGTTTCAAAAATCTCCTGTCAGGGACCCATTCTTTTGACCACCCACATCTTTTATAGATTTCCCCCACAGGACTCCCCTGTTCCCACTGTTAAACATCTTTTATTTTAGAACCTTTTCTTGGGTACACCGATCTTTCTCAAAGACCCTTGGTAGTCTCTGGACTAATCACCGTGTTAGGATTTAAAAGTAATATCCATAAAACCTAAGTGAATGATTTCTGAATCAGCAAGGACACAGGTACATATTAATTCTGTGTTTCTTTAGGTGTGTCACAAATGTGCCAAAGTGTCCAAATTGGGACTTGAACCAGCACATCTTGCATTCTTGCTCCATCATAACAGCAGGCTTTGTTTTGAAAGACAATTTAATATAAAAGATAAGGGCTGACTTTATACCAGTAAGAAAGTGTTTAGTGGATGAGGTCTTGTTGTGTGTTGTGTGACAGAGAGGTAGACAGACACACTGACTGCAGGGTCATTAGAGGTGAGCTTGCGTTACAAAACCCAGTGACCAGAGTCTGGTTTTCAGAAAGGTTACAACACATTCTGATGGGGTAAAAACATAGCTGTGGTGTGTGTGTGTGTTTGCTAAAGTGTCTTAATGAGACAAATGATGGAGGGTTTACACAATGTGTGGACTGATGAAAAACTCTTAATTCCTTGTGAAAAATTTGTATGCACATGCATGTGCGTATGTTTGTGTGTGCTAACTCAAGTTCTGTCCATTTAAAACTGTGTAATTTGTTTTATAGCCAAAGCCCAAGAAGAATGAAGTACAGCTTGTTGGTGCATCTAGGACATGTGATTTCAACTTTATTGATAGTTGCTGTAAATTGCCATCAAATCAAGCTAAACCAGAGAACACTCAGAGAACTCAAACCCCTGCCAAGGCAGCTCACTTTCCACCTAATGCCATTTTACATAAAAGCAATATTCCCATGATAGTCTGGCCCCATCATTTTAAAATGTTTATTATTTTTGGTCCTCCAAACACTGATAGTTGTATTAGAAGTTAAATTATTGTTAAAGTCTAAGAAGAGTTTGTTTATACTTTGGGGTCAAAACAGTTTTCACCTAATTTTCATAACCTCCATGTGAGGATGCTAAATATCCATATGGTTATTGTTAGGCTTGTTTCATGCCATATGTTGAGCAGCTGTGACCATAGCCTGTCTATGTTGTGTTACCTTGGCTAAAATTATAATAAGCACTTGGCTCCTGTAGCTCTCCATCTGACAATTTCAAATCATTTTCATGTATAACGACAACAAAAAATAATGCCCCTATAGCTTAGCTTGACAGTCAGCAGTGCTCTAGCGAATATGGCAAAGAGTAGGGGCTTGTATCTGTTAGTTTCAAGTACAACTGCCAGTGTTTCACTAGCCCTTTATCGTTATGGTAAGGAGGTCCCAACTTTAATGAAGTCACTGATTTGGGTTGTCTCAAAGCAGTCTGTATGTTTAAAGACTACATTGGATTGTGCTGAAATGCCATTATTCACCCACTCATTTGTTAAATTATCTCATCTGGGGCTTGGCCTAATCCTCACTGTTGAAGTGTAGTTCAACCCATGTCCAAGTCCAATCCAAGCCCTACCCTGTCTGGACAAAAAGGATGAGTGGGAGGTTAGAAGAATGAGGGACACGAGAGGGATTATGAAATCTGTGTGAGAAAAGAACTTCTGATTTAAAAAGTAAAATGTCACTACAACCACCTAGAGAAATTTGTGATGGAGGTTTTTATGAAAAAGGTAAAGAGAAATGACAAAGATGGATAGAGAACGTTGGTGAAGTCGGTAGTGGTCAGTGTCAGCTGTGCTGTGATGGCTGAATATAACAGCTGTTCTCTAACTGGGACACATGCACACACACAGCCTGCACATGCATATTGTGCCTGGGAGTCCAAGGAATCTTTGCAAATACAATGGACTCTGTTGTAGAGCTGAGAGAGAAAACTTGTGAATAGGAGAGGATGATGCTGAGAGGGTGAGCACAGAAAGAAACATGGGCATGATGAACTAGGCTGTATAGACAAGAGTGCAACCGCAGTTTGTAGCTAAAGCAGAGTAATAGTAGTGAGGGGGAAGAAATCAGTGGCTTGTTGCACCACGTAAGTAGACGGATTTCTCAGCCCATATCCTCTCTGTATTCATGTAATCTGTAGCATGTTGTCTCTTCACATTCCGGCTGCTTCCCCCCCACTCCCCAGTGGTTAGCAATCACCATGTCCACAGAGACTCACATTGCTTCAGTGATGGGATGAGGCAGCAACGCCGTGAGATGGGAACTATCTCTGGGCTTGTATTACGGAGACTACGCCTTTATTGTTATGTTTTCTGTTTGACTGTCTAAAGTGAGAGTGCTTTATGAAATCTTCAAACTGAACAAATCAAATTATCCTCCTCATCTCCGTCTGTTTCTCTCACTGCTGCATTTACTTATCCATCCTCTTGGTAGGACTTTGGTGGGTAAGAGATGGCACCAGACCAAGCCTTGGAATAAAAGCACTGTTAGCGTCTTGGCTGACATTGTGGTGGACACAAACACTTAAACACACACACACACACACACCCATACACATTTGGCAGGTTTTACAACTCCTTGTATATGGCTTGGTCTGGTTTTGGCAGGTAAACTCAAGGACTCTTTGAAAGACTATTTGATAGACGAGGTCTAGTGTACACACGCACATGCACACATACGAGCACTCCTCTATTCCTCCTGTTGTCTAAGACTTGTTTTGTATTCAGTCCAGCTGATGAGGCAAGGTGAGCGGCCAGACTGAAGTGCTTTACTGTTTTAGATGACGCGGGTGAGGTGCGGCAGAGGCTCATATGCGTCCATACATCTTACCAACAGCACTGCAGCGTTGCCCTTGTACCTGACTATAGCCGGTTGTAAATACTCATGGGGCAGGGACTAAGAAAGAGTGCACAGGGACAACATCGGATGCCAGGGTATGCAGAAGAACACACATCACTAAGACACAAACAGATACAGATGCATCGGCATTTCCTATCTTCATCAAGTACTATTACTGCAGCAAGACAACTTTGTGGAGAGGCTGATCACAAATGAGCAGCCGTGATGTGAAAAGATGTTTGATGCTTTTTTTTATTACTTTTATTGGAACTGAGATGGGAATTGCAGCATCACCCCACTGCTTCTCCCTCAGTGTCTGTTGTGGTTTGGTGACCATTACTGGGTGCATTACAGCCTTGCAAAGTGCTTTGCTTTTATCTTCAGACAGTATGAAATATGAACAGCATTAACTGACATGAAACAACAATCAATACTGCTCATTACTAATCACATACTGAAAGATTTGGTCTTTTGTGGATATGTTTTTTTTTTTTGTCATTTTGGAAATTAATCTATTTTTTAAATCCATCAAATGGAACCTGACCTATCAGAATTAGCATTTTGCTTAAAAGAAGTTTGACATTTGAATGCAGCTGTGATCTGATGAAATCAGACTTCTTGGTCAGATTCATTCTCAAAATCTGATACCGAACAACTGGCTATTTACTAAAACCTTTTCCCAGACAACAACTTTCCAACCCCTGCTGTGCATCTAAAGAGTTTAGACTTTAATCACCCTTTCAAGCATCTTGAAACCCCCCACCTCCGAGTCCACAGCGAGTACCTTGAACTGTGCCTGTGTGTGTGAGAGGGAGAGAGTGAGTAGATAGTGTTTCAGGAAGTGTGATTTGTGTCTCAGTGTGTGTGTGCGTGTGTAATTGTGTACCAGCATGATTTAAGCTTCCTTATCTAAAGGCAGAGGTAGGTCAGGGTCACGTCCAGTTCAGCCCTCTGTACGCCTTTTGTGCTCCCAAACACACACATACACCTGCAGAGTTGATCAGAGTTGATACAGTCACTACCACTGACAGAAAGATAAAGATAAAGATAAAGATGGGACACAGAGAGACTGTTCTGTTTGCAGCTCTACACCTACAAAGAAAAAAAACAATAGAAATGCACATACCAGGCACTGGATCATTAATATACAACAGGCATCAATTAAAAATCATTAAATGGAAAGAAAACTGCTGAAACAAGAGGTGGAAAAAACCCTACATACCGGCCTGTCTCTACAGATGTGTGTGGAGAAATGACAAAAAAGAAAGAAGTGGGCTTTGAAGGTTTGAACTTCTCTAGCTAAGTGCCCCACAGCCTGAGGACTCAAACACTTTAGGCTTCATCATGGACCTGCTGATGGCCAGGAGATCACGGAGGTCCAACTTACTGCTTTACATGATTTCCTGCAGTTTTCTACTGCTGTCAGAAAAACACACCAAATTTAACTTTCAGTAAAAAAGAGGAGAGTGCTACTTCAATAAAGGCCATATAATACATGGCAGCAGTCATTTACTACCTTTAATTGACCACAGAAGATAAGATGTCATCAAAATCTGTCAGAGTCAGCTCAGTGTTTGGATTGATTGACAGGACATTATACGTTCACCTCATGAGTATTAATCACAGCAGCACTGTAAGGACTGCTCTAATGGAGGAGGAAGGACACATGCAGGCAAAGTAGAGTTTTTCTCCAGTCTGGCATGTTGAGTGTATTCTGGCTGAATTAACCCTGAGGTTTGATATCACCAGGTGGTCACTTTGTGCTGATGATATCAATTCCTCTCATCAGTAGGTGACCAAAGTGGAGCGCAGGTCCACCGCTCTGCTTTTTGACCTTTTTATTACATCCATTTACACTATATTGGAGTTGTGTAGACACTCAGGCGGCAGATAAACAGGGTAAATCAAGCAAGGTCTGGGAGACACTTAGTAATTTGTTTTCATTGGACTGAGGGGACATTTTGTTTGTGCAGAATACATATACACCAAATCCATACAGTATATAACCAGAGCATCATTATATACACCATTTCATATTTATTAGATGTGTGTGTGAGAGAGAGAGACTGAAAGAAGCAATTTTGTTGTTATGGCTCTAAAGGAGTGGGTAAGTAAATACAGAGCTTTATCAAGCAGCCTGGTGTTTTGCATTGTGAAAGATGGGTGTAAACCCACTCACACACAGTACATGCATGAGCACACATACACATACTGTTTATGTTCCCTGAGCACCATGAGGAGTGTGTTCATGTGCAAGTGTATCTAGTGTTTCAGACTAACCAGTGTGCCAGTGCTTGCCTGTGTGTGAGTGTGTGCGTGTGATATTAAGTTTCTTCATAACAGGTGGGATAGACTTTGCGTCATCTGTGATTGGGTCCAGTATCACGTTTTCTCCCTCAGGCCTATCATTAACCCCCATTCCTCCCAGTCACATACTCCCAAAATACAGTCAGATATAGCAAGCTACACAGCGTTCTCATTCAGGCTCATCCCCTCCCTGCCTTCTCTCTTTTATATACAAAACATTCATGCAGCCCAGTGTGTAGCAGAATACATTGCAAAAAGCACTTTTAGATCATAATATTACTTTTACTTCAAACAACAAAGTCACTCTAAAAATGGCAAATTTCACATTCAAGATCAAATGAGAAATTGGGTGTAATGCTCCCACAAAGCAAAACTCGGTCATGCCATCATATTACAGAAGTTGTAGCTGAGGAGGCAACAAACTTGAGGGTACCCAGATTATTGCTCTCAGCTGTAGACAACACAAATTGCCCATAAATTGCTTAAAAAGCAGTTTCTATTGGCTTCGTAATTTCCTCTTCCTGTTCATGTTAGAATTCACTTAAGTATTTAAAATGCCTATTGTTTCTAAGATCATTTAAGCTGTCTGGGATTAAAGGGTTAGTGTCATTACTATCACTGTCAGTAATATACACTTAATGAGTTTTTGATTCAAGCATCACAGCATCACAATATATGAATAAATGATACTTTAATACTTACTTAACTTTCTTTGCTAGTTTTATTTATGTTTTTTTTCCCTGTGTGTCTCCAGTCATGGCTGAGGATGTATGGTTACCTACCCCAGGCCAGCAGACAGATGTCAACCATGCGATCAGCTCAGATCCTGTCCAATGCCATCAGCGACATGCAACGGTTCTACGGCCTAGAGGTCACGGGACAGATGGACCCTCAAACCATTAGGTCAGCAGGCCTTAACTAGAATGTTTTTGTACATTTAGACTTGCACCCACTCATAAAAAAGTGTATACTGTGTATACATGTACATATATTTATCGACCAGCCCCCAAAACACCGTCATTCATCTTCCTTTCAACACATGCGTGAACACTCTTGCCTGCTCTTGATTTCTTTAAACTCCTTCAGTGCTATGAAAAGACCACGCTGTGGTGTGCCTGACAAGTTTGGAGGACAGATCAAAACCAATGTGCGGCGGAAACGTTATGCCCTCACCGGACATAAATGGAACAAGAACCATCTCACTTACAGGTAAAAGATATTTTATTTTTGAAGAAAATCTACCTTACCACAAATGCACTGTACATGAACATTTGGCTACTTCACAATATTCTATATTCAGGTTGGGATTTGAGTTAACTCAGTTTTTCATTTCTTTTGTTGATTTTGTTGCATTACACATGTATTTACCACCAAAGATCCCTTATATTATGTGCCAGATCGATACACATGCTTGATGCTGGGTTAAAAGACTTTTTTGGGAACAAAAATCAGTTTTCTTCCTCAAACTTGACAAACGCCCAAAATGTATAGAGTATACCAATGAAAAAATATTTCCAGACTGCTTGTAAATATACTGTATAAAAGGATATGTTTTACATGCAGCCGTTATCAGTCAACATTGGCCTTTGTAAGAATTTTTTTCCTTTTTCTCTCTTTGTTCCCTTAGTGTCCAAAACTACACTCCCAAGATCGGAGAGTATAACTCGTACGAGGCTGTTCGGCGGGCCTTTAAAGTCTGGGAGAGTGTCATCCCATTGACCTTTGATGAAATCCCATACCAGGAGATCAAATATGGACGTCGCAAAGAGCCCGACATCATGATCTTCTTTGCTTCAGGTTTTCACGGAGACAGTTCTCCTTTTGATGGGGAGGGGGGTTTCTTGGCTCACGCCTACTTCCCTGGACCTGGAATGGGTGGGGACACACACTTTGACTCTGATGAACCATGGACCATAGGAAACCAGAACATACAAGGTAAATGTGGCTGTCAGTATAATTGTAATTACATATAATTGTAAGTGAAATGTGAGTTGTACTGTGGTCTTTTTATATCGGACAACCAATTGTTACAGACAACGGTAATTAAAAAAGTATGAATAACAGCAGGAAAGACAAGAGGAATAAGAGAAGAAGAGGCTTTTAGGACTTTAAAAATAAAACACATTTTTGTATTCTAGGTGGATGGATGCTTTGCTACACAGGTTGAGTTTATGTTTACGTGTGTGTAGCAACACAGATAGCTTGTGTTATATAGCTTTTTCTTGAGGGCTTGGATGTTGCAATTTCCTTAAATTTCAGGTGGAAACAGAGGATTGAGGGGTTATTAGGTCCTTGAACATTTTTGTAGTAGGTGTTCAGCTGATGAGCAGTTTGTCACACCAAAATCTTGTCCTGCTGTACAGGTTGTAATGGACTGTGCAACTGTCCCCATTGCTTTCCTCCACAACTAACTAGAGATGGCATGTTTCAGCTAGACACATTGTGAGGCACTGCTAATCCATTTTCCCCTGTAAAAGTTCAAAGTCAAAACTTGGTGCCAACACACAGTTTCTGCCCCGGTTGCACCTTCTTAGAGTTCTTAAATGTACCCCCAATTACATTGCTAAGAACTTGTACTGACACTAATCCATGAACTCTGTGATCCATGCATTATGGTTTGTGCAGTCTGTGCTACACACACACGCAAGATATTTGTGCTTCTGGTTTGTGCAGTCTGTGCTACACACACATGCAAGATATTTGTGCTTCTGTGCTTTTAAAGACTACAGTTGGAAATAGTCTGAAATCATTACCAAAACCTAACCTCATCCCTACAGCCGTACTTTAACCTTTACACTTTTCTTAGGAGGCACCCAGCAATTTCTAGAACATAACTAATTATGAGGATTACTGTCATGTTTAAGATGTTTTTAGAGATCCTCTTCTTGCTGTGCATCCATTAACCCTGATGTGACAATGGACTTTCTACATCCACACAGCAGACACACAGAGCTAAGCTTTGTGTGGATGTATGGCTGTGCCTCTGTGTGTGTCTGTATCTGCGTGATCAGCTGTGTGTAGGATGTGATGCAGGATAGATCACAGGGACAGTGGAATTCCACAGTAAGTGGGAGTGTGTTCCACCCAGGGAGCTCTGTAGACTGGTCCCTTTGTTGCACCACACTACTTAGACAGCTCAAAAGCAAAGAGCAGCCAAATTACAGTCTTGTCTGGTTTAAGGTAGACACATGTTGCACTTGTGCAGCTAGTCTTCATTCAGCGTTCTTACAGCCTTCCAGTTGCAGTTTTGCTGGAATGTGGCTTCTAATCCTGGTAAAATGTAGGTTTTTTCATTCACTAATGAAACTAACGCTGATTGATCCAGCAACTGACATTCAAAAATATAGTTTATAGTACAGTCAAGAGTATCTTGTTTCTATCAAATTTTCCAGTTGATTCAGTTATTTAAATACTTTATCAAGCAAAATATGGTTCTAGCTTATCAAATATAAAGATTTGCTTATTTCATCTGTTTCATATCCAACAAATTCTGACAGGCATTTTTTTTTACTATTTTCAAACATTTATTGATCAGCACTAAAAATAATAAGTTGCCATCCTAATATCATTTTCAAACAAAGTATTTAAATATTGTTTTTTATTGGTACTGGTGCAGAATAATGATCTTACAAAGGCTTTGCTTCAAAACTACCACTGCTAATATGCTGGGGCAAACAAAAGTAAAGAAAGAGCCGTGTTCAAATCTGTGTAAGCATCTCCCAGCTGAAGTGTCCTGGGGCATGAAACAGTCAAACAAAAACAGACTTTAGCTTAGGGATCAATAGGTACACAAAAAACATTTACATGAAAAGCATTTTATCCAGTTTTTGTTGTTATGCTTGTTGTTTTCCTTTCATTGACTTCAGTTTCATTTGTCAGCGAATAACAATGCTAATGGGTTCAGATGTCTGGGGTACCTTGTGACGCACATTGTAGTTAATCAGCCCTTTCTGCACAGATGGTCTAACAAAAACAGCTTTTAAACTTTATCCAAAAGGTTTCTGACATGTACACTCAGACACACCTTACGCAGATGAAATGCTGTTGGCCAGTAGCCGTAAAAGGTCAGAAGCTTTTGTGATTCTTTGTGGTCAAATGAGACCAATGTGAGGAAGTTACTGGCAAAAAGCAGAGTGAACTTGGAGAGTACCTTCTGGTTGTCAGGGTGCTGCTTTAGAGTGTCTTTTTTTACACTGGGAGTCCCCTTAGCTGTTGATAACTAAGGTGTGAGACATGGTAAACAAGGGAACAAAACAGAGTTGGCTTGAATGACAAAAGGTTTGTGTAGAATAGTCAGAAGTAGATGCAATGGCAATAGCTTTGCAAAGATGTTTGAAGTTTACTCTAGCTTTTCATTGTCAAACCGAAATGGTTGCTACGGTTACCTCACAAAGGCCTCTTTATTTGCTCTCAGTGCTCTCTCTCTGTTTATTCATCCCCAACTATCTCTAGCACTCTGCATTGCCCTCTACTATTTTCTCTTGTGGAGTGTTAGCAGTTTAGCATGCCATGAGGACATTTCATGTGACTGATAGGAAGGGGTGTGAGGGCGTAGAGAGGGTGGAGGAGGTGAACTGGGCGTATCCTTTTGTGTGTGAGTGTGCATGCATATATCTGCATGTTTTGCAAAAGAGGAAATGAGGAGAGATGCAGAGGGGCAGGCATCCAGAGCTTCTCTCCTTCCCTTGCACAGCAGTGACATCACCGTTTCCCAGTGGCACAGATCTGACCAATCAGCATGTGCCATTAGGCCTGACAAATGGCTTGCAAGTTCAAAGTTCACACAAGGCAGGGTCCCAACAGTGTCCCTTTATTATTAGACATGTTAGAAATGTATGTATGCTGATTCATTATTATTAGACATGTTAGAAATGTATGCTGATTCATATCAGCAATCATTAACATGCCTTTTATGATTCATGTGTCACATCTGTGGAGATTTTTATTAATATAAGAGAGAACAGATGTTTATTAATGTGAAGGAGAAAATGAACAGACATCCTCACACATTAACTACATGGATATAAGGACTTTGTTCTCTCTGTAGTCCTGTACAGTCCTATGTCTTTGTTTGTTTGTTTTAAGACACCTGTATGAACACAGAGGGACTAGTACATCCTCTTTTTCCTTCATACTCTTTCAAAAAAACTGCGGCTAGTATCCTTTGAGTGTTTAAGAATGTAATGTACGTATATTGTCTAACTTTCCTCCCTCCCCCTCTCTTCTCCATTATAACCATGCAGGTAATGACCTCTTCCTGGTAGCAGTACATGAGCTGGGTCACGCCCTGGGTTTAGAGCATTCCAACAACCCACTGGCTATCATGGCTCCCTTTTACCAGTGGATGGAGACTGAGAACTTCCAGCTGCCTGAGGATGATTGGCGGGGCATACAGCAGATCTATGGTAGGTAGGATGTTTCCTGGACCACACACCTGGTGTCCAGTGTGTATAATGCGTACAGTGTTTGAAGCCATGACAACATGAATTTGTGATTTGCACTTATGTCAAATTGAAAACAGGTTTTTTTATACTTTTTTTTTTTTTTTTTACAAAAAGTGACACTTGAACAAAGAAGTTTCTTTTGATCTAAAACCTTATTCAAATAGGTTGCCTTGTTTTATATGGAAATCCCGTTCACAGCTTTAATCAGTTAGTATATCAGAACTATTAAATAAATGTATTACATCTTGGTAGTGTTTTTTTTTCTTTGCTGAGACTTAGATGAGAAGATTCATCCCACTGTCTATGAAATATGAAAGATAGTTAGCTCAGATAAGCATAAAGAATGGAAGCAGAGGTAACAACAGCTGCCTGTGAGCACCTCTAAATCTCAGTAATTAAGACATTTTGGACTTTATTTTCCTGAAATAGGGTGCAGCACTAAACTTGTGTCTAAACCCCAGGTGTAAGGCACATATGAGCATGTTCAACAATGTTTTGCAGTTTTGGCGACCACAGATGCACAGTTTGCTAATATCACTGACCAGCTTTTATGCATGGTAGAAAGGTCTCTGATCTTGTAACCAGCAGCAGTTATCTGAAATCAGGTCATGGTGGCAGGTTCAGGAAAGTAATCCTTCTCCCCGGCAACATTTTCCAGCTCCTCTGGTGGGTTGCCAAGGTGCCCCCAGGCCAGCTGAGATACGTATGTAGTCTCTCCAGCATGCTCTGGATTTACCTGGTGTCTCCTACCCTTTGGATGTGCCTGGAAAACCTACAAAGGGCGGCGCCCTGGAGGCATCCTGATAAGATGCCCGAACCACCTCATCTGGCTCCTTTCATTGTGTACTGCGAGTCCCTTCCAGATGTCCCGAATCCACACCCTATCTCTAAGGCTATGTCTGGCCACCCTGCACCCCGGCAACATTTTCCAGCTCCTCTGGTGGGTTGCCAAGGTGCCCCCAGGCCAGCTGAGATACGTATGTAGTCTCTCCAGCATGCTCTGGATTTACCTGGTGTCTCCTACCCTTTGGATGTGCCTGGAAAACCTACAAAGGGCGGCGCCCTGGAGGCATCCTGATAAGATGCCCGAACCACCTCATCTGGCTCCTTTCATTGTGTACTGCGAGTCCCTTCCAGATGTCCCGAATCCACACCCTATCTCAAAGGCTATGTCTGGCCACCCAACGAAACTCATTTCGCTGTTTGTATTTGCATAGGTGAGGGTTGGAGCATAGACTGACTGGCAAATTGAGGACTTTGCCTTTCAGCTCAGCTCCTTCTTCACCACAACAGTCTGGTACAACATGCGCATTACTGCTGATGCTGCCCCTGTCCGCCTGTCAATCTCAAGCTCAATTTTACCCTCACTAGTAAACAAGACAGCATCAGTTATATACAGTGCAATTTACTCACAGCTGCTTCCAGTGTGTGAAATTCATGGGGGTCTCACATGTAACATTATAAATATTTCACAGTTTTTTTAAATAATACAATAAAATTATAATGCAGGCATTGCATTTATGGTGAAACTGAATTAAAAATGTTCGTTTCTCCTTGCAGGTCAACCAGACAGTGGTCCTACCCAGGCCCTGCCCACTGTGATACCCCGCCGCCCAGAGCCTAGGCCACCTCAAACACCTCCTCGGCATCCCAACCGCCCAAGGACCACAGATAGACCAGATCACTACGGACCCAATATCTGTGAAGGAAACTTTGACACAGTTACTATGCTCCGAGGAGAAATGTTTGTTTTCAAGGTAAATGGTTTGAGGATTAGGAATTAGGGGCATTTTCACACTACTACTTTAATCTAAATCAATGGTTCCCAAACTTGGGGGGGTTATTTTGATGTTAAATTGAGGGGCCACAGCAACTGTTAAATATAACTGATGTGTATGGCAGTGGGGGTGGGAGGGAGAGCTCCAAAATATTTTTACCCACAAAAGGAGGGACCCAGCAGAAAAAGTTCAGGAACCACTGATCTAAGTGATGACCATAAAACATTAGAGGAGATATGCTGCCCTTCAGAGTGTTTTATTATAAGTCTTTACTTGGAAATTGAGTTGGCTTCCAGCAGAGGAGCTGTTCTGACAAGTTAACAGTGTCAATAAATTAGTTATTCTTGACAAATGGCGTGTGCATGGCCTACAAGAGGGCTGTTTTCAATCTTGCCTTTGTGGACTATAAACCAACAGGGCTGGTGTTTTTTATGAGAAGGAACACTGTTAAAAGGGTGGGGTGTGGTCAGGTGTTTGCCTGCAAGAGCCTCTACACAAAACATTAATAAGAGCTGACCCAGCAATGAGCCATTAGCAGGGTTTTTACCTTTAAGACATATATCTTAGAAAACTCTCTGCCAGTTTTTAAACTGATCATTTTGTTGGGTAAGGTCTTTTGATGCTAGGCCTTGTGGTCATTTGTTTTTACACATCTGCCATGTGTTTTCACCAACTGTGGTCAGGACTGATTAAGTGAAAATGTTATGTGGTCCTTGTCAGTTGAATTAACTGAAATATCAGCAGCGAAGAGAACTCGGTTTTTCCCAGTGTACTGTATGTTCTCCTATTCAGGATTGGTTCAGTGACAGACCATTCATAGTGCAGCTCTACAAAAATAAGTAATGATGTGTTTCAGTGGGGGAGGTCAGAGGAGTTGTACAGTGTTGGCAGCACTGAGCACTGAAGAGGTTTGCTGATATTAGAGAGAGCTGGAAGGAGAACATGCTGGCTTTATTGTAAAGGAGCCTCGGCTTCACTGCTAGAAATGTTGTCATGATACATGAAATCTTGAACTGCCAGCAGTACGGAGTGAAACTACTGAAGGTTTCCAACAGTGTCATATCATCAACCACACTTTGAACTGGATCCCAGAAACCTTTAGACATGCCTGTATCAAGGGAGAAATACAAAACTATTTTATGTTTCTACAAAGCTGAATATGACAGCTGTTATTGTTGATGACAACACAGTACTGGGTGGGCTGTTTTTTTTTTGCATTATTGTTGTCATAGAGTTTAACATTTAGATAACTGTCATTTAAATCAAACGGCACTGTTTGACAGAGCCCTGTCTCTCCAAACACACAGAGATTAGTCTATGAATATCTCTTATCTTGGGCTCTAAGTGTGTCTGGCACTGGCCAGTGGTTAGAAGACTTGGCATCCATGTGCCTGGACATGTGCTGCACATGGTCACACAATTATATCTGTGCTCTAGAGTTTCATCTCAGCCAGTAATGTCTATGTTCTTGGGTTGCTGGGCTGGACAGCATTAAATAGTGTCCAAAATTAACTTTTTGCCTGCCATCCAGTTGTTTAAAACTAATACTAATGACCTGATCTGAGTAAATGCAAACCACAAACAATTGATATATTTTAACTGCTTAGATCAATTTTATGTTGCCTCACAGCAAGAAGGTTACGGGTTCAAGCCCCGGCCGATCCGATGCCTTCCTGTGTGGAGTTTGCATGTTCTTCCTGTGCTTGCATGTGTACTCTCCAGGTACTCCAGCTTCCTCCCACAGTCCAAAAACATGCAGCTTAGGTTGATTGGCAACTCTAAATTGCCCATAGGAGTGAGTGTGAGTGTGTGTAGTTGTCTGTCTGTCACTTAGTGTCAGCCCTATGATAGACTGGCGACCTGTCCAGGATGTACCTCTCTTCTCACCTAGTGTCAGCTGGGATTGGCTCCAGCACCCCCGTGACAGTCGTCAGGATAAACGGTATGGATAATGGATGGATGGGGATCAATTTTATGAAAAGTTTTATTAGGAACAGCCACCTAGTGTAAAGTGTAAATAGTAGATTTCATCAACTGTGGCTAAGTCAAAGTTGTTCTGAATTTTTTTGTTTGTTTTATCTGCACTTGCAGCTGAGCCCAAGTCTTACTGTAAATGCAAGTTCTGAATGTTTAAACATTCAATGTTTAGTTTCTCTGTTTTTAGCCATGCTAGCAGTGTTGCTCCATGGATGGCAATGTTGGCCTGTTAGACGGTTGGTCCACCAGTCTGGTCTTTAATAGTTTTATAGCAGTTGTAAATACATAAAATGTTGTGGACACAGAGCCAGGTCTCATTTAGAGTGAACTGTTGCTGACTCAGCTTTTTGAAGTGACTTTTACACTTAAGTTATTATTGTTGCAGAATGTTAGGAGCAACTGTAGTTCAGTGGGTAGAGCAGTCATCTCCCAACCGGAGGGTTGGCGGTGTGAATCACGGTGCCTGCAGTCCACATATCAAAGTGTCCTTGGGCAAGATACTGAACCCCCAAGTTGCCCCTGATGGTTAGAGCCATCGGTGTGAGTTGGCACCGCAGATGGCTGCCTCGATTCTCTAACGGAAACAAATTCCTTGTGTGTGTCACATACTTGGCCAAATAAAGGTGATTATCCTTATTAGCTGCTGTAGCCTGTTATTAATTGGTTTTATTGTCATTTAATACTTGACTTGAGATTAATTTCTGACTGTTTATATTCTGATTATCCTTATGCCAATTCGGAAGTGATACCTCCACTTTTCAACGGTAGACATTGTTCATCTCTGCTATTACTCTATAAGGGCTGAATTGCTTACTTCCCAGTACTGCAATGAGTGGGAGTAATCTATAGCACATCCGTACCACTCTCTCTTCTCTGTAGTCCTGTCCATTAAAAGACAAAAGGAGCTGTCATTCTGGAGGGAAATAACTCATTTATTTTGCTCATTTCTAGTACTTCTTCTCAGCAGAGCTGAACATACAGACAGCTACACTGAGCTGCTTTCAATGCAGTTCTGCTCTGCTGAGGACTAATATGGTCAGTTCAGTCTTCAGAATCTGGTCAGACAAAGGAGCTGTCAGACCACACAAATCGAACAGCATGCAGTCTGTTTGGTCCGGCCCTGTTCTGTCTCTCTCAGCTCTCACCAACCCATCTCCGTTCTGTTGCATTTCATACTGTGCTGTGCTGTCTTGTCTGCCAGTGTGTCCTGCGTGAAGGACAAAACTAGTGGTGCTTGCCAGAAAGAAGCAGCACTGAGCAATTTACCCTTACATTATCCAGGACAGGCAGGACTACTGACTCACCACTTATAAATGAGTCTGAGGACTTCTAGTGTAAATCTTTCTGTTGGCTTGCATACACAGCACACACTGTTGATAGGGAGGTTCACAAGTATGTTTCCTTTTATGCTTGGGTTGAAGTATGCTGCTGTGCTGCTGACTTGGCAATGAAATCATTCATATACCATCATAAAAGTCCTTTATAAAAGTTATCATGTGCAATATGAGAGAGTGCGATATGAGGATATGATAAAGCCACCAGGACGGAGGCTCACTCTTATCAGCTAGCTAACTTTTCTGCTATCTATAATTTATTCTATGTTCTGGCCTAGTTACCCTGTAGAGGTCAGTTTATTTGGCATAACGACCACGGCAGTCATATCTGACCTCAATGGAACAAATAATTAAGCCCAAATGACAAATGAAAAGCGACTTGAGAATACCTCTCTTAGAGGAACTATCTGTGCCTCCTTTCCATCCTGTGTGTGCACTGTATGTGCTTGTGTGCATAGTAATGTTATTAAAATATATCCTACAATGAGGTGCATTTAACTGACAGTAAGAAATGAAACAGTCAAACACACTTCTCAATTTTGTCACCACAGGGTCGTTGGTTCTGGCGGGTGCGCAGGAACAGGGTTCTGGATAACTACCCGATGCCCATCAGTCACTTCTGGAGGGGTCTGCCTGGAGACATAGATGCTGCCTATGAAAGACATGACGGCAGGTTCGTCTTCTTTAAAGGTAAGCAGCAAATACTTAAAATCTCACTGATGGATGCATGCTGCTCACACGCTGCCCCCAGAATATGATGATGTCCTGACTCATGCCAACAGTATTCTACAGAAAACAAAGATGAACTAGCTATAATTGTAGTTAAGTACAACAGAGAAGGCCAAATATTTGCCATTTATCTCTTACTTTTGTAAAGCGTAAGAGCTGAGATTTGCTGGTCAGTGTACCTACAGTACCTGTTATATTGTATCACATTACATAACATGAAGAGAAATCTGTACGATATAATGTATAATAGCTCCAAATCATCCAAACTACATTTCTTAAATCAACTACAAAATACTATAGTTCAGCTAAATTACTGTAAGATCAATTTTTACATGAGCGATTCTTCTAAATAATCTTTTTCTGGTATTATTAGCCTTCACTTTGAGAGCATGACAGACTTTCATTTGCAACAGTTGCCTTTAAGAATCTTCCCAGTTTCGAAAAGTAACACATAATTTATGTAACAGCACTGATGTGCTGCAGTAGCAACAGTGTCAAACAACACTAGAATTAGGATTTTTTTGCAGTGCAGCAGTGCTCTTTACCCTGCCATGCAAAGAAACTATCATAGCTGGATTCATTGGATGCTGTGGTATTAGCCAGATTCTATCTGTCAGTCTATCCTATATATGTAGCAGCATGTCAGCTTTTTAAGGTAAAGTTTTTCTCTTCATCTTTAGAGATAAGATATTGGAGTTCTTCTGATAGTGCAGGGCTGGTAGCACAAGCATATGGAATATAAGTGCAGCCTTATGGAAGCATACTCCTCCTGCAGAGAAAACCATCCACCATCTGGTTTCTTCATTACGGCCCAAGTACAGTTATATTGCTTTATGGTAATTTCAAACTGTCATGCCTTAATGCTATCATATTTTAACAGTAAAACAGATTCTAGAGCTTTTTTCATCTTCTGCAAACAATGTTGAAGATATACAGTACATAACTCCACCTCCTCAAGTAGGCAGCAAAATATAATGTATTCTACATGCAGGGTGTAAATCTATTTTAGCACAGCTCATTATTTATACTGAAAGCAGCTTGTCTTTTGCAGCAGTGGCTAAAGCTGTTGAATGAAAGAGAAAGAGCTCAGCCTTTATTAATGCAGCCATAGGCTTTGGAGAAGCTGTTGATGAGGGGAATGATGTCATTGCCAAGTCTCTCGGTGTGACACTTGGCTGTGAGCCGTTAGCAAAGAAAGAACAAGAGAAAGAAAGTGGTAGGAAAGAAAAAAGTAGGGACTGGCAGCCCTGGGAGTACAAGAGAAAGGGAGGCAAACACAGCAGTAAGACCTTGAGGCTATGTTCACATTACAGGCTGAAGTGGCCCAAATCTGATTTGTTTCGCTCCAAGTGACTCACATCTGATCTTATCAAAGATGTGTAAACAAACCAAATCAGGGTCCCTTACATATGTGGTCCTAGATCTGATTCATATCACTAACTATGCAACTGCTTTTTGAACAATCAAATCAGAATTTGTGTCATTATTTTAAATATTTCACTTCTCTGTGCACACACACATTACCTATGCTCATTCATTCAGTGTCAGTCCCTCACAGATAGGTAAAAATGAACATGGGTGAGAGCACCATCAGCGACTGGGTCGGAGGGAAGACAAGGAAGTTGGACTTTAGTTTGTTGGACTTTTATGTTCAAGCCAAGCTGGAACTAACATATTATAACTAGGCAGGTTATGAAGAATTTACACAATCTGACTGTCTCACAAATTACACTATTGTTGTTATTGCTGATGCATGTGGCTCACATAAATCTGCACTTGCACGGTTGTGTAGGACCTCACCGAAACGAGACGCACAAACATGAATGTGAGCCATCAACACAAAAAGGTCAGATCTGACAAAAAAATCTGAATTTAGCATTAATGTAACGTGAACACAGTCTTAAATGGATTGGTTAGATCAGCCAGTAACTTGACTTTCAGTCACTGTGATGACAGTAGTCCTCTTTTTTTTTTCTATGCTTGTTCTTGTGGACTTGTGAAACATCATCAGTCATGGCACAGTTTTGCACATTTAGCAAAGAACAGCTCAGATATCTTAGGTGGGAGACAATATTGACCATCCAAAATGCTACAACATCTTGAAGACAGGTGATTTCTGTATAAAAAGGGCTATAGGCTATGTCCCCTGTGCTGAGCTTGGTGTTTCCATATGGGGAGCGACAAGGCCTGAGTTTAGATCCCAGTATCAGTGCTGTACATATTTTACGTTGACAGTAGAATTCATTCCATGCATGTTGGCTGACTGGACTGATATTCCCACATTTAATTTAGTGGCATACTATATACTGAGAAAGGCCTAGGGGGGATATATTTTATCAGGATGGATCATTTTTGACAAAGCGAACATCAAATATCTGGAATATCTTGTATTTAAAAGGTGTGGTCCAAATTCTCAGTATATTAACATTCAAAAATGTAGCAATCCACTTGTCTTGCACAACTGTTGTATTTCCTAGAGGTTTCCCAGCTGTTTTTATCCCAAACAAGCCCAACTGGAATAGAAACCACACTGTTTATGCCTTTATAAAAACAACTGTTACACAGCAGGAAGTAATCAAATATTTAGGTCACTGAAGCGCGCCACTGAAGTTATGGAAAGTCATGGAAAAAGTCATGGGATTTTACATCAGGGCTGTGCACCACAGGAACCCTGGGAAGCATTGCGTCAACCACTCGTTCTCTCCAGATGCTGAGTTAACAGTTTTCACTTTAAATGAGGAGCAAGGGGCTAAAGGTGGGTGGATAGATGAGTGGACTGGTGGTTGGGGGAGAAAGAGGGAGGGAAAGGGATATTGAAGCCAAGAGGAGAGATGTAATGGTGCCAGGAAGAACGGAGTCCCCCAGTCTGACACAGTGAAAAACAATAAAACCTTCCGTTCGGTGAGAAATCTGCTTTAGTGTGACATGAGACACTCCTAATGGATAATTACCAGCCAAACCCAAACCCTTCATTCATTATTACATTCCTATAATTTACAAGTGTGTGTAAATGCTGTTCTGGTTTTTCAGATTGTTTTTATTGTTTTCTTTTTATTGCACATTCAATTTCAATTATCTAACATCTCCTCTGCCAGCAAATTAAATGTGTGTGCATGAGTAGGATTTGTATGTGTATGTACATCTGTTGCTGTATGTGCATGTGTGTATAATCAAGTGTATATGCCATATATAGTATGATTCTGGGTGTGTTATTGTAAAACCTGCCAGGTTATGAGTGGAACTGTACAGAGTATGCGCTGATGTATGTATCAAAAAGAATCACTAAGAAATGCTCCTCTCCTCTCCTTCCCATCTCCTCAGGAAACAGATTCTGGCTTTTTAGGGAAGCTAACCTGGAACCGGACTATCCACAAGAGCTGGTCGATTATGGTCGCGATATACCCTATGACAGGATAGACACAGCCATCTGGTGGGAGCCATCTGGCTACACTTACTTCTTTCAAGGAGACCGGTAACGTAGCCTACAGCCTGTCATTATGAAACCCCTCTAATTCACCTGCTACCCAATATATTAGCTGAGCTTCATCTCAACCCATGTCATTCCAAGAGGCAAATGTAAAATGCATTGCATGTGTTCAAATTCACTTACAGTAAATCAAGCTCAAAGCGTGTCTTTATGGAGAACAATGTCAGTCTGAAACATCTTAGCAGCTAGAAGATGGATTGCCATGAAACATTTTACAGGCATTCATGGTATCCAGATGATGAATCTTATTGACAGTGGTAATCTGGCTTTTCCCTCAGGGCCACCATGATGCTGACATTTATGGTTAACATTAAAATGTCTCAACAGCAGCTGGCTGGATTTCCATGCATACACCACATGTTCATATCTTGGTCAGGATGAATCATAATCACTTTGGTGTTTCCCTGAATTTTTATTTAGCTCCATCGCAAAACTAATGACACTCTCATCATTTATAAGATAATAATAATAATAAAATAAGATGGTGAGCATGGTAAATATTGTATTTGCTAAAATTAGCATTTAGCTAATGGTCCACAGTACAGCCTCGCACAGCAGCTAGCATGGCTGTAGACTCTTAGTCTGGTGTTACATATACTGTATGGTTTATGCAATGGTAACCACAGGTGTAATGGGAGACACAGTTTGATTCTTATCTTTAAACAGTTCTTTAGTGCAAAGACAAACACGGCTCAGAATAGTCCAACACTGTATTGATTTTTGACTTTAGTTTCAAAGAATATGTATTTTTTTAAATATTAAATTTAAATATTTTGTTGTAGTGCTAATCAAATTGAAGATCATTTATAAAATAAAGTTTCTGAGATCAGGCATCATTTATGTTAGAGATTCCTAGCATTGCTGTATGAATATTAAGTTATAAGACGAATACTGGAGAGCTGCAGTTTAACTGCTCATTGTTAACAAATTTAGAAAGTTCTGTGGAAAGTACGACATATTGAAAAGAAATTACACAGCCATATAAAAGTGCGATGTGTTTATGAAAATACTTGTAGGAAAATAATTATACTATAAGCACAGCGTCTCTTCTAGAATTAGAGTGACTGCCTGATTGCAGGTTTCTAGTGCTTTTACATTCAAATTTGAATGTTCTGTGGAAACTGTCCTGTTACTTTCCCACCATGTAGGCCAAGCGATGTGCTGCACTGTGTAAGGGGTCTGTTCTACTCTTGTTTAGACAGATGATAAACAGTAACAGCCATCCTCTCTGCTGCTATCTGCAGGTACTGGCGTTTCAATGAGCAGTCCCGCTCAGCTGACAGAGGCTACCCGAAACCAATAAGTGTCTGGGGATCGTCGGTGCCCTCTACTCCCAAGGGGGCCTTCCTCAGTGATGATGGAGGTGAGACAACAAGAGCAGTTTCTCTGTGTGTGTGTGTGTGTGTGAGGCAAAAAATTATGATGTGGTCATGTAGGGGTAGCAATCTGTGTATTTGCGTCTGTTGAGAGGTGCATTTGAGACTTAGACTATATTTAAAGATGGATGATGTGACAGGGCCAGAGAAGTGATGCCAGGCTGTTTGGAGTATAGGTAACAACACCTCCATGTTAGTGGATGGGACTTGAGCCAAACTAAAAAGTATAAATTAAATGAGTTTTTTCCAAAGGTGGTTTCTCTCAGTTTAGGTAAATATGATTAAGCTGATTTGTATACAAGTGGTAATTTGTCTATTACATTGCTATTAAAAAGGGGTGTATTTTAGATGATTGACAGCTTTCATTGGCGGCATGATACCGCAGTTCCACCTCTGCTGCTTAGTGGCAGGAAGTGGTCACACATAATCCATTTTTATATACAGTCGATGGTATGAGCCCACGTGTTGCGTTTTACTTTGCTGAGAAAATGGAGAAGGGAGAGCCACTTTCGAAGCAGTCTTTGTTAAAGATTGTAGATATTTTTCCATGTATACAACAAACTATTCTGGATAAATTCACAATAATAAATGACAAAATTGAATTTATTGAAATAGTTTGACATTTAGGAAAATATGCTTATTTGCTTTCTTACATAGATTGAGATGAGAAAATGAATGGGATAGGAACAGCCAGCTGTTGATTAGATAAGCATAAAGTCTGGAAACAGGGAGGCAGACAGTGAAGACTCCAGAACAGATCAAGGCTAGCTGTTTCCCTGTGTTTCTGGTCTTTATGCTAAGCTAAGATAACCTGCTGGATCCAGTTTCATATTGAACAGATAGATACAAGAGTGGTATCAGTCTCCACATCTAACAGGAGGGCAAATAGGTGTTTTTGGCAAATTGTTGAACTATGCACCTTTACGTTTTCTGTCTTCACATTGCCATGTTAGTTTACATCTCCTAATCTCCTTGTCTTGTCCAGCTTACACCTTCTTCTATAAGGGTTCCAAATACTGGAAGTTTGACAACCACCGCATGAAGAGTGAGCCAGGCTACCCCAAGTCCATCCTGAGAGACTTCATGGGCTGCAGTGTAGACCTGGATCCCGACAGGGACACAGACACAGACTCGGGACGCAAATACCCAGACGTGAACCGTCCACCATTCAACCCAGATGCGGGGAATGATGGCGACAAGGACAAAGACCAGGATGGAACAGATCATGGTGGAACAGACAAAGACACGGGTAAAGGCTCTGACGACAAAGATGAAGACTACCGTGAGGGTCGTGAGGAAGACACCAACGAGGTGGATGTGGTGCTGAAGGTGGACGACAGTGAGGAGCGGACCATGAATATCCTGATGGTAACCATCCCACTCGTCCTGGTGCTGTGCATCTTGGGACTGATTTACGCCATCATCAACACGCTGCAGAGCAAAGGGGCGCCGCGACTGCTGGTGCATTGCAAGCGCTCACTGCAGGACTGGGTCTGACCCTTGACATTAGGAGACACTGAACTTGGAACTTAAATTGGACCTTCAACACCCCCTCCTCTAATCCAGCCCTCTTCCCAGTGATCCATCTGTCTCAAGTCTCTGTGCTCTGTGGCTCCTGCAACTCTTAGTATAGGTGGTAGTAAATCCATGCAAATACTGTACTGATACACACACACAAACTAAATCATGTCTTACATAAACACACACACAGGCACACCACCCTAACCTTGTCTTGTCTCCCATGGTGCTCTACAATGAGTTGACTGTAGTCTATTTATATGAGAGAAGTTTGCACATTGTTTTTTTCCCTTGTTTTTGTTTTAGTTTTTTGTTACTTTTTGTTGTTGTTATTATTATTTCTAAACCAGGAAGGCCACTCTATTCTCTCTCCCCTCTCTGCACCACCCTCCTCCTTCCCCTACAGTAGGGGCTTTTTCCTTTGCTGATAACTTGACATCTGTGTATGCTATCACAGTTGCTATAAAAGAAATATACAGATACAAAGAAAAGGAGAGAGTGATTTGGAGACAGACCACTATGCTTCAATCAGGGTTCAGTAGTATTCCTTCCTCTTCTCATCATCTTCTTCATGTTGTCCACTCTCTTCCCTTTTCTCTGCAGTACAGTATCTCATGGGCTGGGGTGTGACTTAGAGAGAAACAGGGTTCATTTCATAGTTTACAGTAAGTAGCATTTTGAGGCTATCCTCCCTTTGACTCCCTGTAAAGGAGATGTTGTAACTGTGAAGGTTGGATCAGAGCTCAGTTTGTTACTCATACAGTCACTGTTTTAGTTTTACAGGATAATTCCATCTTATTATAACTTGGATCCTTTTTTCAGTTTTGACCATTGATTTTAATGGTAACAGTACCACTGTACTCACCAGATTATTTGCTGGAATCAGAGAATCTGATGACATCGCTAAAACAAAGTCAGTCATACAGGCTTTAAACAAACCCCTAGGTTAGTTAGACTTATTTGTAAAAGAAAGCAAATACAGACAGTAGAAGTATTACCCCGACTGCCTGTTGTAAACATCATTTTCCAGATACCTGCTGCACTTGTCATAGTTGTGCACACACACTGCAGCTTGCATATATCAGGGAGAAGTGATATTTCTGGTGCACTGGTGTCCAGTTTTACCTCCAAATAAAGTGATTTGGATAATCTGTCTAACATGGGGGTGAGTTTAAATGATTTGGCATTTTGAGAAATACAGTACATTTATTCACTTTTTTGTGGACATTTGATGAGAAGATAAATACCTGTCATGTCTGTACACCAAGTATGACACTACAGCCAGCAGGCAATTATCTTATCTGAGCATGAAAACTGGAAGCAGGGAGACCCAGCTAGCCTGACTCTATCAGCACTTTCCAATCATCCAGCCATCCATTATCTATACAGCCTATCCTCAGTAGGGTCATGGGCGGCTGGAGCCTATCACACCTGACATTGGGCAAGAGGCAGGGTGCACCCTGGACAGGTTGCCAGTCTATCACAGGGCTGACATGCAGAGAAACAATCACACACACACACTAGCCTACCAGCACCTCTACATTTGAAGGACTAGCATGTTATACCTTGTTTGTTTAGTTGTGCTAGTAGGCAGATTTGTGGGCTTTGGACAGAACCTGACCAGTGGTTTCTCCCTGCTTCTAAACTTCTCATCTAACTTTTGCAAAAAAAAAAAAAAACAAGTTAAGAAGCTTATTTCTCAAAATGTTTTTTTTAAACCTGCCTGAGCTTGTGTAGCTATAGTCAAAGATATCAGCCATTGCAATGTTATGATACCATAACAGGTAGAAATGATGGCTATAAAGAAAAGGACTAGGAAAATAAGATCCAAGCATTATCCTGTAAATTCAGACTTGTTTTCCTTCTTTCGCACGTGACCAAGTCTACTTTGGCTGGAAGGGTTGTAAAGAGGTCCACTTCCCTTAACTTTTACGTATGTGGCTAACTCTCAGAGAGCGTCTTTTCTGTCCACAATAAGACTTAATTTTTTTATACTGCAGAGGAGACGGACTAATGGTCACAGCTCACTGTGAAACCACACAGGAGATGGAACGTTCATTGTGGCTCTGTGTGTAACATAAAACAAACAAACAAAGCAAAGCCATGGCCTTTAGCTTCAGAACAGGATGCAGCACCACAAAAGCATCACAGCGGTCACATGGTGCAGCTAATTTGCCATGTGGTTTATAATGGGCTTTTACTTCTGGTGTTTGAAAAGAACAATTTAAGAAACTTCTCTGATGACCTGTGAGCTTTCTGTTGTAAAGATAGCTTAGCATAACTCAAGTGCCAGGGTGGGCTCATGTGAGCACAGACTAATCCTCCTCATTAAAAAACAGCAGGTGTGCGCAAATGCTGTTAACCCCCATGACCCCTAAACTCAACTTTGAACTCCCAGAATCAAAACACTCTCAGCTCCAGAAGAACAGAGATAGAGTGAAGAGGAGTGTGTGTGCAGAATCATGCCCATCTCAACTACTCATTTTATCAGTACTGAAGAACCACACCTGTGTTTTTGGACATTTTAGCTACTTTATTACAACCATTTCCAAATGCATGCCATAGAGTTTTAATTTTTGTTTGTGTCTCTTCCCCCCCCCATATGTGGCAGCCATTAGTTTCCACCATATGAAAAACAACCAGCAGACTATTTAAACACAAAAATAATGTAACTTTGACCAAAGTTAATGCAGACTTAGATGTTCACTTTGATGGATTAAACAATTCATGTAGTCTACTTACTGATTTTCCTGCTGTATGAAACTGAATGGAAGCCAGTGGCTGCCATGAAAAAATCTTAACAATAACAGCATGATTTGCAAAGTGGTTGATGTGAAACTGTTACTACATTGTTAGACAGTAAGTGGCTAAAACATGCAAAAGCAATGATGGTTGCCATTTATAATGACCTTTTTAAGAGAAACAGTATTCTCAAAAGATCACTTCATTTAACCCATTTGTGAATATATTTTAAAGAATTTCTGAAATTAGGTTGACGTTACTCATATACTTGTGAAATAAGCAGCCCTATGTCGTGCTATTAAAAAAGTCTAGCGGCAAGAGAAAACACCAAGTTTTCTCATTTTAAGCCTGAAAGCCAGGTGAGAGCATAGGACTGGATGACTTCAAATGTGAATGGGAGGAAGGCTTATTTGAGGTGACATTAAAAAACAAGTTGCTACTGTGACCAGAGGGGGCTCAGTGCACCAAGCTCAGGTTACACAGATGTGGACGCATGGGGTGAGGACAGACTGAATTTCCTGCAGCTGAGACAAGGAAAGGGGGAGGGAAGCTGACCTCGTCTCCCTGGGCTTGCAGAGTTTGTATCTCAGGAATAAGGAGGGGTGGGAAGAGAGAGAGGGCTTTGATGGCTCTATCCTACTGGCAGCAGGCCATGTGACCCAAATTCTCCTGCTAGCTCAACAACAGGGCTGGCCAAATAAGAAACTTTAACCTACAGTGGGTGACAAACCTTTATTAGGAAAGTTTGCTATTAAGTGCTTTGCTTATAGCTGTGTATATCCTCCATGACATGTTTTATAGCCTGTATACTGATTTCACCCCTGACTCTGAAACAGTACCTGTGCTTTCACTGTTTTCTTTTATTCCAGTCACACCGTAGCTTGTATTTCGACAGACCAAACAGATACTTCACTCTGCTGTTCTGTTGGGCCTTCAGCTAGGTGAAAACAAGTTGAGGTGGACAAAGGAGACAGAGCTGAAGTTACCAGGGCACTTAGTCAAAAGAAAGAGCATAATCGGCCATCACCAGAAGTCTAGAGATTGATCTGTGGCCAGTCAATAGCAGTTGCCAGGGAACGGTGTCTTGTGTCCATCTTTCACCTCATCATCATCAAGGATGCGGGGTGGGGGGTGTTGCGGACACAGCTAATCAGCGTTAAAAGCACCCCCTCCTCAGTCTTGCTCTTCCATTGGTGCTACAGACACAACGAGTGCTTAGGCAGCTGAGCATCTGGACAGGCTCAGAAAACACCGACTCATTGCACTAGACGGAGGACTGTGTATGGCATTCTTCTTTATCTGGCCTCTGTAACCTCCATACAGAGTGCCCACAGGGAATTAACCACTTCAAAGCTAAAGTAACCATTTCAAAGTGCACCTAAGTTTACTTTCTTGGAATCACAGTTTCAGTGATTCAGCAGTTTGAGAGATTGTCGGAAAGGTAACTGACTCAATTTAGTACAGTTCATTGTCTCAGGACACCAAGCAGAAGAGAAATATTGAAAAGTTAGGAAAGTAATCTGTCAAGGCTGATTGATGAATGTGTGTGTGTGTGTGTGTGTGTGTGTGTTGAGGTGTTCACTTAATCAGCTCTACTCTCCATATGCGAGGCCTGTTCTGTGACTGTAAATCTCCCACTGTCTCTCTATCCCCACCCGTCCGCATACTCAGCCCAGCCCTTTAAGCCCGAGGGGATCATAATAACAACAATGGCCTCCACTCTCTGTCTTTCACTCTCTTTCTCCCCCTGTTTTCTCCCTCCCTGGTCCACACACAAACACATTAGTGTATTCCCCAGCCTTCCGCTCATCTACTCCCTGCTTAGGAAACTAGTCCACATAAAGGTCCGTCCTCACACAGCAGGGCATGGTTTTTACATCCACCTTGTTCAGCAACATTTAACACTGTGTAAAAGCTTTAGAATTGGCACATCTAGAGCTGTGGGAATGGTCCGACCAATTTTTTCTCTAATAGTTGTGATTTTATTTGTAAAGAAGCTCATGAAGTCATTGCTGCTGAGATCTAAGGGAATGTTAAGCTCAACAGCACTGTGGCTCAGTCAGTTCTACACTGACCATCATTTGGCATCTCACGCTAGGCCCTTTTATTACTACCTGAGTAATGATCCAGCGACTTTCTGACCGTAACCATCATCCCTGACTGGGATGAGCTCTGGAAAACAACACATAAAAAAAAGTTGAACAAAAAGGCAGCAGTCAATCAAAACAAATGAGGTTGTTTGTTTTTAATATTTGTCTTTTATTTGTGCATTTTCGCTCTCCGAACTTGGTAGATTGTTTTGTTAATAACATTCCAATTATTTTTTTGATTGGTTGTTAGTGTTTTTTCTGTAGAAAATGTTAGGGTTTTTTTCTTTTGTTTTTTTTTTTTTTACATTTGTGTTGTGTGTTCACCTCTAGTTGAATGTGTTAACAAGCCATGCTGGACATGTACACATTAAAAATCGAAAATATTCAAATTAGTTGATAGTAGTGTTCTTGAAGCTTTTTATGCCGTGACTGGTGCAGTACAATGCTTTTTGAACTTGCTGAATTCTGCACACACATACAGTACACACACCCACTAGTCTCTTCCTGTGGTGAGGTCACTGTCCATAGGGCCCTACTTCCTCCCTCACATGGGACCAGCTGCAGACCACTGTTAGGGAGAGAAGAGAGAGAGGGGTCTGGCCGATTGCCAGGAAGCCACATGAGTGAGGAGGAAGTTAGCAACCGGTTTGTAGAACCTATAAGAAACCAACCAGGCAACGGTGTCATCACACTGGAAGGAAATTAATTGTTCACATTACGACAGTTTAGTTTTTTTTGTTTGTTTGTTTTGTTTTTTTTGTGATGTATTTTATTCAAACACCAAAATTACAGAACAGAGACTGAAAGCAGACTTTAATAAGATGTTTTGGTAACTTAGAGCAAGTTGTTTCCGAAAATAAAGCAACACCTACACATATCCCAATGCAGACATAATCGGACAAAATTGGCACCAGATTATAGTTATTTTGTCTTCATCTGAGTCCTTGCAATCAATTAATGAAGGAGTGTGGCTCAGAGTTACAAGCTTTTAATAGGGATGGGAAAAGACAAGACATGGCAGAGACATGACTTAAGGAGTGACAGTGTCTGACACTGGTTCAGAGTGAAATACCTCACCAACTATTGAAATCTGAATTCTATTTTATCTTCATCTTTGACTTTTATGATTCTGACTTCCTGGTGACGCAGGTAGGTCACCTGTCCCAGTGCTTATAGAAATTCTTCACTGAAGACCAACTGAGGGGCTAATGATCATTGCCTGTGGGCTTTGTGGCAATGTAGAGTCTGTAGCTAGCTTGTTCACAAACACAATAGGTTCCAACCATAATCCAGTCTCTTGGATCATTGTCCATATTTCTCAGACCACTCCTGCAGCATCAGCTACGATCTATTGTTGATATTAAATATTGATTAGAACATTAATGGCCATCTAGATTTGCTACAGAGTTTAGCATATAGTATGTAAAGTGGTTTATGTACCATAACATCTTAGAATAACTTGTGACCGCAGTGCTACCATGTAGACTGTGTTTTTCTGGTCCCATGTCAGATTATTGACTTGTTATAATACTGGAGGAGAGTGGACGGACAACCAGTGTACCGGCTATTCCAGACCCTAATGGCTTACCTTTAAGATGCACTATCAACCATTACAGGATTCTTTTTAAGCCAAATATACCTCTATGCACTTTGTAATCAAGTTTAATGGCATATGTTACATGTGTGCATGGTGTTTGAGTGTGCTGGCCTGCTTTACACTGTGTTCACATGCTTTTAATGTTTTCCTGCTGTGTATGTGTTCATGTAAAGTCTGGCCACGTTTGCTGCTTGTGAATTCTGTCTGCTATAGTTATCACCAGGAACACCCTGTGCCAGTGGAGTACTGTAATTACTTGGTTACTGTATCTCTTTCCATTAGGTAGAAAATTAATCCCCTTTGTGCCCCACAAGGCAGATATGCACACATACGCCCAGAGGAAGTTAATCACTAGCAGATACAGCTAATACATCTGCTGCAAATGCCTGAACAGGGTGAAGTTGAACCGCCTGTTTAATGTTTACAACACTACACCTGCAGGGAATCCTGAGGAATGAGGCAAGGCCACTCCGGGGCTAGGAGTGGTGAAGGCGGCTGTTGTGGTCAGATGGGGACAAAAGTGCTGCTTCTAGGTTGTCAAGAGGTGACAGTCACTGGTCTACAGGTGTCCCAAAAGTGCTGCTTCTAGGTTGTCAAGAGTCACTGGTCACTGACAGTCACTGGTCTACAGGTGTCCTGAGAAACAGAATGACACAGGGTCTCTGATACTTAACAGAAGCATAAACTCACATAGGTGTCCCCAGGTGGTCTCCCATCCAGGGCAGACCAGGCATGGACCAGCTGAGCTTCCAAGAAAACATGAAATCAGGTGTGCCCCAATGATAACCTTAGGGGCTAAACTGTGAGGACTTCATTGAGTGAACTGCTGGGCAACAGACCGTCAGATGAGGATGCCAGGGTAATATTTCCCAGGGGAACTTAGATGGCTAGCTGGAGCTCTCTAGAGCCAGGTGGCAGAGTGCAGGAGAAAAATAACAAAGGACTAACATATACATTGGCTGCTGTGAAGCTAGGGAGAGTGTAATGGCATGTTCACATTACAGCAGAAAAGCAGCTTTTGCCATTGCTGTGTATGTGGTGCGCCGCGTAGGTTCTGCGTGGACATCAGGTGATCACCTGACCATTCATTTAACACCACCGTCAGGTCAGATTAAATACTAAATAGGCTACCAGCAAAACAAATGATCATTTCAAATAGTCTCTGCTGTACTTTGTGTTTTGTACAAATTAGCAACACAAAGAAGTTCCTTTTACCTCCACTGTGTTTGGGGGTGTCCAACATTTCACAGGTGGATAAAGCAAAGCCTGGTGTGATGGAGATTAATCTGAATTTAATTACATCAACATGCGTTTGTCAAACAATTTGGAGAGATGTAAAATTGATTTAGACAGGAGGAAATGTTAAATAA